TCATAAATTTGTCAATTTTACGAAAATATTATCACCAAGTGCTAATACAATGTATGAAGAACTCAAATATCCAATAAATTGATATCGATGACTAATGATTACCTGAAACCATAAGATATGAATTGTAACCTCAATTCACTCGAATACAATTATCTCTCACAAAAATGAAATTCGATCAAAAATATATCAATTAATATTTAATTCAATATGTAATAATCAACTCTAACGAACCAAATGTCGGCGATGACAAGTTTTTCCATTCGGATAATAAAGATAGATCCAGACCTACCAGATATCTTCCATTCCCACAACCTATCACTTCAACCTTCCAAGTCGGTAGTTCAGATCAGAAGGACTTTGATTTTTCTATTCGTTCTTCGCGAAAGATCCTGTCATATTAATTCCTTCTCCTGATTGGTTATTTAGTCTCCCTTCTTCGATCTTCTGTGTCGCTGTCTAGCGGGAAGGACGAGCGCGCAAGACTTGATTAATTCGATATGGTTATTGAACCGGTGAAGGGCTGATAAGCGGAAGTAGATAGAAGAACGAATGGACGTCAGATAATTAAATGATTGATTAATTGAGAAACATCTCAATGGAACGGAATAATCGTTACAACAACAAGAAGATAGAATACAAATATTTTGATGATAATAATGAAATTGTGGAGAGATTGAAATTACTGATAGCAGAAAAATATGCAGGGCATACGGGTCATGAAAATGAAATCATGTCTGTGATTAGTGAGCTCAAAGAAGCCAACATTATCCAATAAAGCTTAATGTACTACAACTTCGGTGTTCATTTAGTAGGGTTCCTTAGTCTAGGTACGATGCCTATTGATAAATTCGATAGACATATGTTGCAACACCAAACAGTTGATCAATCTCAGCTCAGCTACTCTGTGCACCAACACCCTATTAATTTATCTCTATTATACAGTGAGTGTGTCATCACAATCAAAGGAAGAATAACCGAAGAGACGAAAAAGCACCCATTGCCCTACGTATATGAATTACATAATAATTCAAACGAATATATCTTCCCCTTGAAAGAAGGTATAATAAGTGGTGTCGATTACTATCCGGGACTATTATCAGTCGTACTGGATAGTTCAAGCACAATAGACATGACGGATCTGATTAGTCAAAGACTTTCCAAAGGAACGATTTTGAAATTTTTCAACAAATCCAAATCATCTAAAGATAGTATGTACGTTCAATTACTTATTCATTCTCCAATCGTCAAGAATGTCTGATAATAATAATAATAATTTCTTTATTATCTCAAATTACTTCGCACACCAACAGCGTGGTAATACAAATAAAAAAGAGTAAAACGTCAAAAAGTACGAAACATTGTTATACATATATCATATAGAATAAAAGATATATAGATAAAATGACAAATATGAATAAATGAAACTGGATATAGGTATAGAAACAACACATACACGTCATAAATAAAATCAACAAATATGTATAAATAAAAGTACAAATGGCAAATCACGAGAGAAACTCCTCTACAATGATATATAATGTAAGTAATTCCCTTCTATATAAACATATGGTACAGGATTACAGATAAAATTCATCTATACTGTAGCAGTTCTTTGACAGAAGAAGTTGTTCCAGTTTTAATTTAAAGATATGTAAATTTCCAGAATGTCTTATGTTATCGGGTAGTTTATTGAAAAGTTTGCAGCCCTGAAACTCAAAACTTCTTTGGTAAAGAGCTGTGCGATGTTGACTTGGTAATAACAAGTGGGCATTTCGGGTAGAATGATTATGATATGCTCTATTAGCAGCTAATGTATTTCTATTCCGGTAGATATATGTGCAAGCTTCCATTACGTATACTCCAGCTAGCGTTAAAATTTTCAAATTCTGTAAACTTTGTCTACATGAATCTCTTTAGCCCAACTTGGCAATGATCCGAATAGCATATTTTTGTACACAAAACACCCGAGATACGGTAGAGGAGTTGCCCCAGTTCAGAATGCCATATTTAAGATGCGAATTGAAGTTTGCGTAGTAGACAGTCAATAGAGTACTTTGGCCACAATGGTTGGAAAGGAACCTAAGAGAATAACAGGATTTTCTAAGTGTATTACATAAGTTGTCAATATGAGTCCTCCATTGAAGTTTGTCATCAAAAACAACACCCAGCATTTTTGTTGAGTTAGTTAGGTTCAGTTCCAAAGCAGTATCAACAAACTGGTTCAACGTATATTGTTGTCCAGTATTCATCTTGAAATTCAACACGTTAGTTTTAGCTTCATTCAGCAATAAATTGTTTTTTCTCGACCACATAATAACTTTTTCGTAGGTCTCAAGAGCTACAGCAACAGCGGATTCCATATCTTTTTCAATAATTAATATATTGGTATCATCAGCATAACAAGTACAGTGAATGGCCGAGTTCTTATTTAGGTACCCTAACAAGTCATTGGCAAAAGCTAAATACAAGAAGGGTCCCAGAATGGATCCCTGTGGTACTCCATCCTCAATATTTCTTTCAGTACTTAGACTTTTCCCAACTTTGACTACTTGTCTTCTCTCATTCAAGTATGAGTTTAGTAAAGATAGAGGTATTCCTCTTACACCGTATCTTGAGAGTTTGTCGAGCAGAAGATCATGGTTAACACAGTCGAAAGCCCGTGAGAAGTCAATAAATAATCCTAAAACACACTTCTTTTTGTCTAGAGCACTTACTATTCGATTTTGATATTCACACAGTGCCGTATCAGTGCTTTTTTTCTTAGTGAAACCATGTTGTGAGGGCGATAACAAGTTATTTGCTGTGAAGTAGGCCTCCAATTGTTCTTTTATATTAATTTCATAGAGTTTAGAGATACTTGAAATAATACTAATTGCTCTATAGTTATCCATATTGTTTTGGTCACCTTTTTTAAAAATGGGAGATACACTAGCAAGTTTAAGATTGGTTGGAAAAATGCCTTCAGAGGTTGAGAGATTAATTAAAAAAGTCAGTACACCACATGATTCACCAGAGCAATTTTTCATTATATTGTTGGAGATTTCATCGATACTTGTGGAGTTAGAGTTTTTCAATCTGGTAATCATTTGTGCGAGTTCCAATTCAGTTATTGGGAACATAAAAAAGCTTGAGTTGTTCATGGTGATGTTGCTTTCGAGAAAATTCGTGTCAACAGAGAAGTTTTCAGATATGGACCTTGTAAAATGTAGATTAAATTTTTCAGCCAACATTTCATCCGAATATTGCACATCATTGACTGTTATAACTATTTCACGTTGTTTCATAGTTTTAGTAGCTCCTCAATTATAGCCCAAGTTGTTTTAGATTTGTTGCATGAGCTCAATATCAAATCATCATGATATTGTCTATTCAGCGATTGCAGTTTCTCTCTGTATTCTTTATTGAATTTCTGACATTTTTCCTTATATCTATTATCGTTCCTAGCTAATGTATTATACAACGAAACCTTATTTTTTAGCTCCCTTATTTCACGAATCATCATTGTTTTATGTGACGTAAGTTTCTTTGGACGCCCTAAGGTGATTTTTCTTTTTGGGAACGATATTTCAAAATAATATGTAAGAGTTTTACTGAAAGCATCATATGCCAAGTTGGGGCAACTCTGAGCATAGACGTCTGCCCAGTCTTCTTGAGATAAGTAATTACGAAATCTTACAATATTTTCATTGCATAGGTCACGACGATAAGAAAAACTATTTATCTTACCATTATTGACTCCTTGTTGCAGATCAGAAGTTATTTCCAAAAATTGTGAGTAATGGTCTGAAAGATGAAGATCTACTACTGCCACACTATGGGGGTGGCTTGTCTTGATAAAAAAGTTATCAATACACGTCACTGAGTTTTCCGTAACCCTTGTTGGCATTCTCAATCCGATTTCAATGTCATAGGAAGATAGCAGGTCCTCTAGAAGAGTGAGGTTAGTGCTATGTACTAGAAAATTGATATTGAAATCTCCGCCAATGATAATTGATGTAGTCTCATTATCAATTTCTGCAAGAATTCCGCTGAATGAAAGCAGGAATTCATTGTAGTCACCGTCAGGTGGTCTGTAAATTGCTATACAAATAATATTGTTACTGAGTATTTTGATTCCACATACTTCTATGACACCTTCTTTACAAAAACTAGTCATATTTAGCTTGTGAGTGATTCCCACGAAATTATCATGTTTATAGATGGAAACTCCTCCGTGGATCTTGGTATCTCTAGAGTATGAGGCACAAAGATCAAAACTACTTAACTTAATACTTTCTAATTGATCAGCTTTTTGCCAGTGTTCCGTAATAATCAGAAAATCACATATGTTATCTTTCAAAAACGTATTATTTAGAAGTACTATCTTATTACTTATACACTGGATATTTTGGTGGGCAAAAGAAATATTTTCATTTCGAGGTACAGCAGGACGTGCCCTATTGGTAGTAATACTTATATTCGTTTGAGCATGGTCTATGATATTTTCAAGGCATAGAGGGCTTGGAGTACAGACATTTGAGTTAGGGACATTCAATTTTTTGTCGTTGTCGACATACCTTGGTCTAAAAAATAATTGTCGGATGTATTAGTAGAGTATGCAACTGGTTCTATGAGATTGAAATCGGTAATTTCTATCAGTCTAAGAGCAATTCTTTGTTGGTTTTTTCCTATGAATTCGATATTTTCCTTTAATTTTTCTATCAGTTCGAATTTGCTCCCTTTTTGTTTTTTGTCAGTATGAAATGTAATCGAGCAATTTCTATTGAATCGTTTGAACGCTTTAATTTTTTTGAAAATTATCCTGTTTATGTTTTTGTCAATGTCGTTATTGCATTCTGAAACTATAATGAGGTTCGTAATTTTAGCAAGGCCTAGAATATTATTCAGAAACAGCTGCAATGTTCTATTATTACTAATATTTTTTGTGTTAAACATGACTATTATTGTATCTAACTGCCCATACTCTATTGTCTCACAAAATATATTATCAGTCAACTCACAAAGTTCCACATTCGGCCTTATATTAGAATTAATTTTATATTTAGACTGGTCAATTATTTTTGTGACAGCTCTTGGGAATCCAACAGCATATTGGTCGCCACAAATATACATTTTTCTGTGTGATTTTGTTAGATTTTGGTTGGTGTTATCCTCTTCTTCAATACTATTATCTCGTTCATTAGCTTCAGAAGTAATATTGGCTGCTTCCGTTTCATAGATCAAGTTTCTCTCTCTAGTTGTATTAATTTGATAGATGTTGTCCACGTCTTCAAAATGTGTCGATGCATCATTCCTTTCGTTAGCTTCAGTAGTGTTATTGGCTACTTCCATTTCTTCAAATAGACTAGTTGAATTTCTATCTTCATAATTCGAGTTCTCCACCATCAGTGTATCATTTTCTTGCGCATCTGTATGGGTAGTTGATTGTTTATTCAGTTTCAGTTCCCTTTGTGACTGAAAATATGTTATCAGTGGTGTCCGATTTTTTTTTGGTCTTTGGTATTTTTCTCAGATTACTTTTCTCTATTCCGATTTTTGTTCTCACATTTACATTTCCTCCTTTCCCTTGTACATTCCTTTTTAATGGTTCACTTTTTTGTTTATTGTACATTTCAGGGTTCACCTGCCGTTTCGAGAGATTTGTCAACGTTGTAAGATCAGTTGAGATTGTCTGTGTACCTATGTGATTCATGTTATTTATCAATGAAGTTTTTTTGCGGGTTTCCTGGGTTTGGGTCTCCGCGTCAACAAAAAGTGGTGCTTCTTCATGTCGATGTTTTTCAGCACTCACCGTTTTTTTCTCATTTTGTAGTGTTGAGATAAACTGATTTTTTTCGTTTATTGTGTCCAGTAATTCTCGCTCCATATTCAGAGCTTCTTCGAGGAAAATATCATGTTCCTCCTTCAGTTTATTTATGTAATGAGATTTTTGATTACACACCTCTTTCAATTCATCCACGAGTAACATCAAAGGATTATCCACCTCACTTGAGTCAAGGTCTGTGTCACATTCCCTACATATCACTTTATAACTGCCTAAATACCTCAGTGATTTGCATTTTCCTGCACAACTTTTATGGAATACACCTACACACTTTACACAAATATAGTACATATTCAATGGTTTAGTCTTACAACATATAAACCCGTAATTCTGTGTTTCTGAGGAGCGTTCAGAACCACGTTGTTGCTCTTCAGCCATCTTTCAGATTGAAAAGAAGTGGTAAATGAACTCCATAAGCCAGCAAGAAGACGGTTCCGAAGAAGGAGGGTTATAATCAAAGGGTTGAATGATTTATGGGAAGCTGATCTGGTTGAAATGATTCCTTATGCAAAATTCGACAAAGGATTATAATACATTCTGGTTGTTATAAATACTTTTTCGAAATCTGTGTGGTGTGAGCCAGTAGAAAGTAAATCAGCTAAGGATGTTACACTTGCGATGAAAAAAATTCTGACACACGCAAAATCCCCTCCACAAAATCTGCATACTGACAGAGTGGATTGTTTTCATATTACATTGGATTTTCTGCCGTGCGGTGGGCTTTATCAATGGGTTGTGGGCAATTCTGAGCAAAAAAATGTCATCGTCGTAATTGAACCTTAATCTCTTCTGTATTTCTTTGGCCATAATTTATCGAGTAATTTAGTTTCAAAGAATGAATCGCTAATGAATCAAATTCACAAGGAAATAAGAAATAACTCAAACATAACCTCTTCAAATTTTATTTGTCACAGAACAGTCAAATGTCGGGGTTTCTGTGGTCATCTCTCGTCACGATCACAAATGATTCTGTCCGAGGTGGAAATGAAGGAACAATAATGGTTGCCTGTGATCGTCACATAGGATATGTTCCGTAAATCAACAGGAGTTACCGATGCTTTCAGGACAGGTACCAACGATTTTGACAGTGGTTATCTACTGGTGACTATGATTGTGGTTTAGTTACGGAATGCCAGTCATTTGTCATTGTCAAATTGAAATTATAGTTTTGTTTTGATTCTATCGTCAGCTGTATCATGTGTGTTTTGTATTTACTCTTTCACTTTGCTTTATTGTTGAATTTTATTTGCTATTAATTTCATTTTTTTACACCCATTCATCATCCATTACACTTATTATTCATTTATTATGGATAATAATGATGCAGGATGCAGCTTTGTTTTTATTCAATGAAGTTCTGAATTCTGATTATAGTACAAGTATTAGTAGTGGAGATGAAGTTCAGGCGAGGGGACCCATGGGTAAGTAATTATTGTTTTTTATGTATTGGACTGAATCAATGATCAGATGGTTCGATTCGAGACATTTAGTAATACCCTAATATTTTTTTCAACAGTTTCCCGCCCCAGGGTACAGGGATACATTGAAGAGGTAGTTGACCACTATTCTGATGAAGAATTTAGGGAAAACTTTAGGATGAATAGGCCTACTTTCAATCATGTACTACTATTGATTAATGAACAAATTTCATCAGATATCACTGATAGAGGAAGGCATACCATATCAGCAAAAGCCCAATTATTGATTGTTCTTTGGCATTTTGAAACCCCAGATTCCTATAGGTATGAATTTATATTTTCATTAGCTTCTTATGGATAACATAAGTATCAAATGGGTGATATATTTTTCATTCCATTATTCAAGATCCATATGTGGCCGATTCAATATTGGTAGGGCAACGGCATTGAGAACTGTTAGAAGGGTAGCTGAGGCACTATTTTCTTTGAGTAAACATATTTGTCAATGGCCCACTGGTGAATACCTAGAAGGAGTAGTGAATAGCTTGTCAGAAATGGGATTTCCAGATACCATTGGATGTATTACTTCTATAAAGATATGAGAAACGAAACTAAGTATGCAATAATCCGCGAAAAGAAAGCCTATTTGCAATACAGTATAAGAAATAATAAAAATAATAAGACATACTGGAAAGAGCTCAAGAAAGCAAATATTCACTCCAAAAATGCAGCACAAACCATCCCGGATCACCTCAAAAACGAATCTGAAATCAACGATTATTTCGTCAACTCTTCCAACAGTAATCTTTCTCCTGACCTTGATTCCATCAACTTTTTTTCTAATAATACCCTTCCAGATGTGAACAATCTCTCCTTCTCTCCTACTTCTGTGACAGACATATATAAAATTCTCATAGATATTAAATCGAAGGCCACAGGAGTAGATAAAATTAATATCATCATGCTTTTGCACTGCTGTCCTACTATCCTACCGGTCGTTTGCCATATCTTTAACTTTTGCCTGAATAAAAACGTATTTCCATCCATCTGGAAAAAATCTTTCATATTGCCACTACCCAAAGTACCTAATCCCGATGAATACAAATGTCTTCGGCCTATAAGCATACTCTGTACGCTCTCTAAGGCCTTCGAAAGAATAATTTTTTGTCAGGTGCAGCGTCATTTAGAAGAAAATAGTATAATACCTTGGTGTCAGTCTGGTTTTAGATCTCAGCACAGCTGCGTAACGGCACTCCTCAAAGTTACAGATGACATATTGTGTGCTTCGGACAACAAACGTTTGCTGGATTATACAAAAGCCTTCGACCGAATTAAACACCAACTATTATTACCTATTCTTCAGACCTTGAGTCCATTATATCGATATCAGAAAAATATTGCCTGTCCATTAACCCTACGAAATCGGTTGCCATGTTATTTGGTAAAAAAGAAGCCCGTGCTCGTTGTTCGGATTCCTTTATCATCAAAATCAAGGATTGTATACTTCCTCTGTCTGAAAGTTCAAAGAACCTTGGGATTATACTTGATACGTCGCTAAACTACACCAGACATGTCAATATGATCATCAGGCGCGCTTTTTGTAATTTGAAATTGATTTATACCAACAGAAAAGTCTTAGACAAACGTAGTGAAATAACTTTATGTGAGTCTCTAGTTCTCTCTCACTTAAATTATGCGGACATCATCTACGGACCCGCCATAACTAAAAAAGATCTCCAGCGTCTTCAACTCATTCAAAACTCTTGCGTGCGTCTCATCTGTGGCCTGAGTAGACGTGATCATATTTCCGGACCTCTGAAAGAGCTAGGCTGGCTCAATGTTGAAAACAGGCGAATTCTTCACTCATGCACATTATTTCACAAAATCATAACCACACAGAAACCACCGTACCTGCATGAAAAAATTACATTTCGTACCGACGTCCATAACCTGAATACACGCTTCAAGTCTTTACTTACTCCACTCCTGCACAATACAGTACTATATCAATCGTCTTTTTCATTCACGATAACTCGGCTATATAACAGGCTTCCCGATGCACTAAAAAAAACTGGTAATTCGTCTAACTTCAAACTTCAACTGAAGAAAATACTCCTATCAGGTGATCTTCGCTTCTAAGCATTCTTATAACATATTTGGTATGGGTATGTGTATGTATGTATGTGGGTATATGTAGGACGTATATATGTGTGTATATATATGTGTATGTATATATATATATACTATACAAATTTTCGATAACTGATCGTATGTCCGGACCTGTGCAGGCTCACTGGTACCAAATTCGTTAGTAAGTATATTATTCAGAATATGTATTGTACACTCTAGTTTTAGTTTTAACAAGGTTGAGTGGAAGAAAGCACTTCCTCGTTTCCTTTTGGGAACGTTCAAGAGCTAACTCTGCCATTTGATAGATAGACTTATTTTTTCCTCTAATGTATTTTTGTTTTGTTCTTTCTGTCTATCAATAAAAGCGTTTATTATTATTATTATTATTATTATTATTATTATTATTATTATTATTGATGGAATGCATGTGAGAATCCCCAAACCCAAGGACCATGGATTGTCATATATAAACAGAAAAGAATTTCCAAGTATTATCTTGCAAGTATGTTCCTCAAAATCATTTGATGTTCATCAATGTGCTGAACAGTTTGTTTGATGACTTGGGTATGAATGGATATGTTGTAGCCTACTCTTCTCCACTTTGAAATAATTATCAAAAGAATAAAAAAATAAGTTACATATATGCTAACGGCAGCTTTTCATCGGAGAGCGGATAAGTGATTTCGTTTCCAAGTATTCGAATGAAAAATTCAAGTATAGTGGGCGCCACTCAATCTGCTAAAAATTATATATGTTCAAGAGAGAAATTGAGAATATCACTAAGGTTCCAGGAGTATTGTTGAGAGAACATTCTGGAATGAAAATCACAAGTATTTTTCTGGATTTCTAAGACACATGAAAAGATGAATAAAACCATTTGAAATTTAAAACCTATTTAATGTGCCAAAAAACAGACAGAGCTTCAAAATCACTGCAGAGGACATCCTAGGGTTCTATTAAGGTAATTCTTGAAAAATGATATTGCAGTAAAAAATGATGACAAGTATACAGCAGTTCTCAAAAATTATCACACAATGAATGATCATACAATAATAACAAATAATGAGAATGAAATAAATGAAATCATCATAACCCACAAATCAAACAGGGTAATATACTGATATTGTGTAAAGGTGCGCAATCAGAACTACTGCCTCATAGTACTATGGGGGAGAGGGGGCACTTAGGGAGTTAAAAGTGGTGATGATAATTTCGAGTTATATAAAATTTGAAGAACTAAATCCCTAACAAAAACCTGGCAAAATATGGTATGGTGACAAGTCCTCTTCAGAGATCCTGTGAAGCTCCCATCACAGGCTGCTTGGTGGCATGGCGTGCAGCATAGGTCACTGCAGGCACGATGAAACGGCGAACACGGAATCCCTGGAATGGGGAAGGTATCCCCTACCAGCCCACGGGGCTGAACCCCTCTGTTCCTCCTTCCTGGCGTCCCTAGATAATGTAACAAAGGGGAATAGCCCAGTATGTCGGCTTCCCCTTATGGTGACCATCAACCTGATGAACCTCCTGCAGCCTGCTCTGGCCAGGATCCAATGATGGCCTAGAGGTATCTACGCTGACTGGGAGAGTCCTGGC